TTTCCGAGCGCGTTCCGCCCGAGTGACCGCGCCTCAGTAACCGACCCTCTTCACTCCTGTCCGCTGAACGACCACTTAATCACGAAAGCTCTGATCTATGACCCTTCAGTGAAAGCAACAGTGACAACGCCCGGCGAAGGGGTACCTGTTTAAATTACCCATGGCAACAGAGGTGAAAGAGTTACCGTACTCCAGACTCAACCTCAGCAGTCAGCCGGGAAGTTGGGGGTTTGCTTTTAAGTCAGCGGTGTCTGTGGCTGTTCGCCAAGTGCGTACAAACGGCCTTTGTTTCGCTGTTAAACACTATTCGTTTAATGCCCTATTCTCAGTGGAATTTCAACTTTAATGTTACCGCATTAATGACTGATCTGTCATAACATATATCAATCGTTCAAATTATATTCTGACTCACGAATATCAAGGGATGCCTTCTCAAGGGAACCTCGAGCACAGTACACCAGAGTTAGAGCCCTCTGCTTCTCCTCGGTTGAAATGGCGGGCTTTGCGTTAACGAAACTTGATGATGAGATAAGATGGGCAATCGAACGCTCTTACGGGGACGGTTATGATTTTTGATCTGCATTATTATTTGATGATGGAAGATTAGCATGCCTAGGATGACGCGTGATTTTATCGATGCACCTTCAGGTTTCTGGTGAATCACCGTGGCTGTTGTATTTCGTTATTTACTCCATACTAAACGAGGTGTCAACGACCACTAAAGCAGACAGCTGCAATTCAACGTAAGAGAAATGGAAAATGCTGATGCTTCTTATGTCGTAATGATTACACCGACAGTCATAAATGTCATCTCTGCGTCTAGAGGAACGACAGTATGATTTTCTGCTATGCCCAATTTATGTCAAATCACAATAGATGCAAATTCCTTTGAATTCCTCGATGTTGCAGACTGTATCTTCCCATGGCCGTTCACAACCTTAGTCTTCATTTACACCTGTTGAAGGCTGACATTTGTTAAACAGAAATATTTTCATCGTATAATTGAACTTGACGTCATGAACAGCCAGTGGGAGTTTGTCTCTGTCGGGTCACCGTTGCTGTACCAGCGTTGGTTTCAACGCATAGTGAGGTTGAAATGGCAGGACAAACGTAATTGATGACTCTGTTCTGTTCCAGGCATAGGTGATCTCAATAGACGTTCAGATGAATAAAAGAAGGTTGACTGAGCTAGGAAACCCGGTTGAGCATAGACCTCTGACCACCGGTAATCGGTCTACGCGATTCTCGCGTATGAGCCAAAATACAGTAAGGCCTCGACCCGGAGGAATAAGTTAGAGGCAAATCTGCTGTTGGAGAAGAATGGCGGTTCTTTTCTAAATACTGTAGCTAATGCCTTATAGTAAAAGTGTGCTTTCTAAAAACAAACAATTTAAGCATACCCTCGGTCGGGTCTATCCTCCGTGTGCGGCGTCCGTGTTTCGAATTGTTGTGCACAAACATGTTGTCAGACACGGCCAGCATGGCTCCATCGACTCTGGCCGTTGTCGATATCACAACCTGAAATATAATCGGTTGTTTAATGGCACTGTGACAACAACACTCACAGATCTAAATGGCATACACGATTTCCATCCTCATATTACAGCAGTCCTAACACACAAGGTGCTAGTTGCCTACCACTTCATGCACATAGTATTTATTGTAAAGTCATCCTGTTGAAATCACGAAATCTGCATGAATTATGGTATATATGCATGAACTAATGAGTTATGTTTAAACGATAATTGCTATTCATGCCAAATGCCCAAACAATTATTATAATCTCTGGATTTAAGGAAGTAACGGCATATAAGCGCTAGTCTCAAATTTTGGTTTTCGAGATTCGATCGAACCATGTCACACTTGCAATGACAATTATGGAAATGCTGATCGAGTATTTAACACTATTTTATTACATGTTGTGTCTATATTAATATTGTTTTTAATATGGGCTCATAATTCCTGTAGTATTTCAATCCTCACTGCAGGTTGGCGTCCATTGCTTTTGAATAACAACCAAACCACTGGCATCAACTCAAATTATTGCCACCGTACAAAGAGTTCACCTCACTCGTTACTTTAAGGTACATGAATTATCCCAACGTAGTTGTTGCACGGATAAATCATGTTTATCATGCCTCGAGGATGAACACGTCAAGCAACCTTTCGCCACCTTGCGACGACAGCCTCGGAAGCCGCTTGGACGGGCGACCAAATGTCAACAGATTTTCCGCCATTTTGAGTCTCACTGATGCTCAGCGGCACGCGATGACCTGGCTGACCTCCTCACGAATTATGCCAAAGCCCGTTGCCTTTCGAAATTGACACAACACCAGCTGTTTTGCCTTAATTCCCTTAATTTCCTCTTCCCATTACCGACCTCATTTTCGTCTGACTCCAACGTCAACTCAACCGTAGCTGTCTATCTAACAAAGCCTGTTAAACCAATCTCTGCCTTTCACGTATGAGCACCATCCGCCAATGGAAACTGGCGGGAAATACTTGAGTTTTGTCGAGATTGACGCCTGTGCTTGACGTGTTTCCGGTCTCATCAAAAGGATTGCTTGCCGATACCTAGTATAAGGTATTTATTACAACAATATGAAGATATGCGTCAATAAACACACTTCAACTAGGAGTTAGGTTTATTTCAATTAATATTTTTCTGCATAAAAAAACCAGTTCTAGCAACTTCATTTTTTGAGGAGACGGAACCACGCGAGATGCCCAAACACTGCAAACGCTGAACTCCATGGATCTGTGGCTTGCAGAAACGGATCCGCTGAGTAACTTTGAGAAGGAGGTCAGTGCAGTACGCCGCGAAATCTGATCATGGAGGAGTTATACGTCATTTAACATATCCAGCGTATGTATATATTGCATTGTTTATGAAGTAGCACACAGTGAGTTCCACTTCCTGAAATATCATTTCTGATGAACGGAGGCAGCGCAAAATGATATTAGACACGTCTAGCTCTGCAACCCAATGGATCCGTTTTGATCCTAGTAAATTGGAGCACAGGAGAGTTGCAATAACTCTGAAATCTGGTTTGGAAGCGTTATAAGGCCTCTCTGCGGTTAAGCTAGAGGCAGAACTCATTTTCAAACAGCAGTGTTACATGAAGTGATACCTCGTCAAGTGCTCAGTGGAACTCGATATTATAAGCTTCGTAGAGAGATAAAGGAAACGCTCTGTGCACAACATTGTAGGATTACTAGTGTGAAACTTGTATTCAGTGTAATCGTATATTGGGCATAGTCATATATATAATCATATATGGTTCTAATGCAAATGTTTAATTCTGTGCAATGGTATCATATTCATAGAGGCCTCAGAGATACAAGTATAATGTTATCCCACCCGGTGAACAAGATAAAGCTGAGCAAATGGAGTCGATGCTTCTGATACTATCTAACTGTATATGTCCATGTGCCATTTATTTGCACATATTCAACTTATTAATTTCGTATGGAGTATATACAATGAAAATATTTTTCTACTTATTACATATTTGAACAGTGTAAACTATCCATGTGTATACTCACAAATTTTATGTATTAATGCTTTCCTGTCAATATATTTTGATTCCTATTCTTTGCAGGCTAACATGCAACGCAGAGTACTTTACGGAAGAATATGACGTTATTCTACTCTGCACTGTCACAAGTTTCTCACTTTTACTTGCCATTTAGGTCAATTGCAAACTACTGGCAGGACAGGCTGCCTTGCATGTTCGTAATGGACCCATTTGTAGCACTCATGTTTAAAAGAGCTTGTGGTGAGGTGCTGATATAGGCCATTTTTGCACCTGTGTTAAATAGTCAAATACTCTATGTAGCCACTCGTTTCCTTTTCTTCAAGGTGAAGCTTACCTCACTTTCCTGGACGGATGAAGAGTGAGTGATGCACTCAGATATGGAACTCAGAATGTATCGATTGCGAATTCGACCCTTGACCATCTGAGTACGGCATGACAGACAGAGTGCAATGGAGCCGTTACTCGCATTGAGGCCATTTTTACTATTGTACTGTAGACACTTTGTTGAGTGTGAATGGACTATTTGAAAAGTCACTCAGCAATAGTATGTAATTGGCATAATAATTGTTCCTTAAGATGCTAGGTGCGTTGGATATCTTGGGCAAGGATTAATGTTAAGTTTTTCTCAGTGCCTCGAGACAACTGCATGCGGCATAACACAACTTATCACGCAGTTGGAGTCCTCCACAATGTTGTTTCAACTCCTACATCATGAAAGTAAGTAGGAGTTCAACCAGTGGAATCTGGGTGTCCGTTTGAAGTACGGTAGAACGATTTCATTACCACGCGTCGTTATGGTAGCCATTAAAGTCAGTCAACATATAATCTAATTCTTTGCCAATGAAAATAATAATAACGTTAGCAGATATTTCTATGGTTTGGAGACATATCTTTTTAAAAGAGTGACACTTTGACTGCTAACAATTCAGGGGGATGAATTGTAGCCGTATGCATCAATTCCAAAGAAAGGACAGTTGAATTTTCCCCCTGTTTTCTAGCACCCGAATAGAGAGGCCGTTAGTAAGAAAGACGAACTGATGATCTAATAGAAAGATGCTTGATAATGTTCATAAAAAAAACAAAAATAATATTTGTCGTGACTTCCTTCATTCCAATGGTTCCATATCGAACAAAAGTCTGGTCCCCCCAGTTATGAAAACATTAGGTCATCTAAACGCTGTAGCTTATTGCTTGGTTGGCCTAAGTGGCACTTCCGGTTTCGTTGAAAAGAGAGTCGACTGGCGGGTCTCACATCAGGCATAATCGTCGTATGCCTGAGTCATTGTGACTGTGATGCCTCGAGATGGAAAAGGAAAGGCTCTCAATCGGCGGGACTTCTAATTGCCTATTCCAGAAGTTGGCGAGTCTAGGCACATCCGCACTCCTTCGAAGAAGTCGAGTCTAGTCACTTCATTTCTGATGCACGTATTCCGGGTAGTGCTTCCTTTCATGAATACCTACCAGTTATAACAACAGTCAATAGTAGATGCGGCAAGGAGTTGGAGACACAAAGCTTCACACACACTCTGATTCAGCACCTTCTTCATCAACTCAGACTTGTTTATCTCCAGCGTTACACTGATCACCAATTACACAATCACTGATCTAAGAATTCTGTCTGAACCTACACATCATGTCGTTATCATTTACAGTGAAGGAGGACAGTTCTCACAATCATGTAGCCAAATGTTAATGATAACGATGGACCACGTGTGCCTGCATTCCTGTGCTTTGTGATACACTGGCTGTGTATAGTTTAGAAGTCACACTTCCACTTGGCAATGGATTGATTAGATGCAACGTGTCATAACCATTACTCTGAGGGACAATGGGGTCTGTGTTTTATGCGCCATCTGTTGCAGAAGACACAGAGGCTTGTAGACGCCCACGTTTTGCTAATGAGGATTGTGGCACGTGCCGCTGTCCATATGCTTCCATGTTGTTGTCTGGACTGGAACTCTTTAATTTATTATTTTCAGCACGGATAGCAACATGGCTCAGAGGGTCAATGGCAAGCGAGGAGTGACCTTATTATATTGTAATTTGTACTGTAGGCAATCGCCCTGCCAGCCGTCGAATGAGGTCTGAAGACGATCGCCGTCCTCGCAACATTCACAGTCAAGG